TAGCCCACTCATATTCTTGATTATAATAATTGTAAACTTGTAAATGGACCAAACACTGAATTAAAAGTTTGAAATTGTGAGACTGGGTAAATAAAAAAAGAAGATACATCTTGTATTGTCTATAAGAGACACAGCCATATTTTTTTTAAAGTAATAAACTCTTCCCCCATGTGGGGCTCGAGGTCACAACCCCAAGATCAAGAGTCACAGACTGTACTGACTGAGCCAACCAGGACACATTTAAATAAGTGAGGATAATTAAGAATACAAGGTTGAAAAAATATACAATGCAAACATTAAATGTTTGCATACAAGTCTTTCTTAATATCAGACAAAATAGACAGGAAGACAAAGGTAGTACAACATATAAAGAGGGATCTTGCATAATGGAAAGTGAAGAGTTCATTAGGAAGACAGAAAATGAATATATACCTAAAAAGCATTATAATTTATAAATAATGAGGGGAAAATGGTAAAATCAAGAATAATAGAGTTTAAAAAAAACTTTTCTTAAATAATTTGTCAAAACAACACTGTCATCCAACGTGATGCAGCTGATGATGACAGCACGTTATCCTCAGCTCCTGCAGAACACACATTCATCTTTCATGCATTTCTTGAGGTGTAATTTACATTTTATAAAACTAATGTATTATAAATGTGTAACTCAGTGATTTTTAATAAATGTATAGATTATGCAGCCATTGCCACAGTCTAGTTTTAGAAATTTCCATCACCCTGGAAGTTTCCTTGTGCCCATTTGCAGTTAATTCCCATTCGCACATTCAGCCATAGGCAGTCACTGATGTAGTTTATATGCTTCTATGAGTATCCTAGACATTTTGTAAATAAAACTAGAATATATGCTCTTTTGCATCATCTTTAGCATATTTTTGAGCATCCTTCACATTGTAGCATGCATTGATTAAATCCTTCTTGTTGCTGAATTGTATCCTATTAGACATACCACATTTTGTTTATCTGTTCACCAGTTGGTATATATTTAGCTTGTTTCCAGTTTTTGGCTATTATGAATAAGGCTGCGATGCACGTTAATCACGTATGTTTGTGTATATATATATATCATTTATCTTGAGTAGATTCTTAGGAGTTGAATTAATGAATCTATGGTTAGTTTATACTTAACTTTTAGGGAACTGCCAGATTGTTTCCATATGGCTGCCACCATTTTACATTCCCACTAACACCATATGAGGATTAGTTTCTCAACATCCATACCAACACAGTGTTGTCTGGATCTTTCATTGTAGCTATTCTAGTGGATATGAAATATTATCTCATTGTGGTTTTATTTTTTTTAAGATTTTATTTATTCATGAGAGAGACAGAGAGGCAGAGACACAGGCAGACACTCAACCGCTGAGCCACTTAGGTGTCCCTCATTGTGATTTTAATTTGCAATTTCAAATGGGCATATTTGCTGTTTGTATATATTCATTGGTTAAACCTCCTCACACTTTTTCCCATTTTTTAGATGAGTTGTCTGTCTTCTCACTAAATTTTTTTAATATAATCTAAATACAAGTCCTTTGCCAGATAACAACTTACAAACTATTTTTGCATTCTTCTAATTGTGTAGTATCTGTATATATATTTTTAAAGATTTTATTTATTTATTCATGAGAGACACACACACACACACACACACACAGAGAGGCAGAGACACAGGTAGAGGGAGAAGCAGGCTCCATGCAGGGAGCCCGACACGGGATCGATCCCGGGACCCCAGGATCACGCCCCGGGCTGAAGGTGGCGCTATGCGCCCCCCAGGCTGCCCATGTATAGGTATTTTGTATCTTGTATCCTGTGACCTTCCTGAACTCATTTATTAATTCAAAAATTATTTAGTGTGTTCCTTGGGATTTTCTACATATAAGATCGTGTTGTCTGGGACTAAAGATGGTTTTAATGTTTCCTTTCCAATCTGGATGCTTTTTTGTTGTATTTTATGGGCTGGAGCTTTGCAGATAATATCAAATCAAAGTGGTAAGAGGAGATACCCTTGCTGTAGTCTTGATCTTAGGGGAAATGTGTTCAGTCTTAACATTAAATACAGTGTGAGCTGTGGGTTTTCACGGATGCCCTATGTTAGGTTGAGGAAGTTCAATTCTTGCATTGTTGAGAGGGTTTATCATAGAGTTAGTGTTAGATTCTGTGAAATACTTTTTCTGTGACTTTCAAGGTTAACTTAGGGCTTTTCTCCCTTTATTCTGCTAATATGGTGTATAACATTAATTCCCTTTTGAATGTCACCACTTGGTGCTGCTGCAGACTACCCATTTTATAGGTTGCTCGATTCTGTTTGGTAATACTTTTTGAGGTTTTTTGTGTCTATATCATGAGGGATATTTTTCTGTGGCTTTCTTGTGAAAAAATGGGATGGGGATGAAAGATTGACAGTAAGGCATGAGAACACTTGTTGAGGAGATGGTAATATTTGGATGGATATATGGGTAAATGTGTTCCTTAAAAATCCTAAGTCTGAGGACTCGAACGTTTTTCCCAACAAGGTACAGAGGGCCAGTCATGCATGAAAAGCTGCCTTGCATCAGTGATCACTATGGAAACACAAATCAAAACTACAATGAGATACAATCTCACACCCACTAGGATGGCTACTGATAAAGAACCAGAAAATTAAAAGTGATGGTAAGAACATGGAGAAATTTGGACCTTTGTGTGCTATTGGTGGGAGTGTAAGAAGGTGCCTTCTCTGTGGTGAACAGAATGGCAGTTTCTTAAAAAATTAAAGATAAGATCACTAATGACCCAGCAATTCCACATCTGGGTCTATGGCCAAAAGAACTAAAGGCAGGGTCTTGAGATCATTGCACACCCATAGTGAGGGGAGCGTTATTGTAGCCAAGACACAGAAGCAGCCCCGTGTCCACCCATAGATGAACGTGTAAGCAGAATGTAGTATATACATGAAACAGCACATAATTTACCCTTAAAAGGGCAGGGAATTCTGCAACACACCTTCACACGGATGAATCCCGAGGATGTTGTACTGAGTTCAATAGCCACACGCAGAAGGACACGTACTGTGTGACCCACCTGTATGAGGTACTTGGAGTGGCCCAAGTCACACGGGGAGAGCAGAGCGGCCGTGTCCAGGGCCGTGGGAGGGAAGAGTGAGGGCTGCTGCTTAGTGGAGACAGAGTTTCAGATTCGCAGGATGAAGAGAACTCTTGAGGTCAGTGCTAGGGACGATTACACAGATAGTGTAGTGGATACTGAACTTCGTAAAGCTGGTTAAGATGGTAAATTTTAGGTTGTCTTTTATCACGATCAAAAAAATTGAAAGGAACAAACTATAGAAATGATCCCTGAAAGTAATAGCCAAATTGTGGAAGGAGCCTCGGTGTCCATCGACAGATGAATGGATAAAGAAGCTGTGGTCTATGTATACAATGGAATATTCCTCAGCCATTAGACATGACAAATACCCACCATTTGCTTCGACGTGGAGGGAACTGGAGGGTATGATGCTGAGTGAAATGAGTCAATCGGAGAAGGACAAACATTATATGTTCTCATTCATTTGGGGAATATAAATAATAGTGAAAGGGAATAAAAGGGAAGGGAGAAGAAATGAGTAGGAAATATCAGAAAGGGAGACAGAACACGAGAGACTCCTAACTCTGGGAAACGAACTAGGGGTGGTGGAAGGGGAGGAGGGCGGGGTGTGGGGGTGACTGGGTGACGGGCACTGAGGGGGGCACTTGACGGGATGAGCACTGGGTGTTATTCTGTATGTTGGCAAATTGAACACCAATAAAAAGTAAATTTATTATTAAATTGAAAGGAGTCTTAGGTCTGAATACAAAAAAAGTATCAATTTTCTTTCTCTGTAAACTGTAATCCCGCTATTTTACAAGACGGGGCAGATGGAGAGAATTTGTCAGGCTCCTACTATTAGTGCTGCTTTTCTAACAGATTCCTAAAGACTTTCAAAAATCTTCCAGACAGTGTAGATCATGTCACAGTGTTAACAAGATGTGAGTGTAAATACCCTTTGCAAATACTGTTATGTTGGAAAAGAAAAAATCCTCTGTCTTGATTTAGAACAAATTGTCACTTCTCTCGTTCTCATTCGGTGTTCTTGAGCTACTCACAGTCTTTTATCCCCACCCCCCACCCCCGGTATCTCACGTACTTTACAGCAGTGGGACCTGGAATTCACTCGTACGGTGGCGTTTAAGTAACAGGCACACCAGTACTTAATTCTTGAAAATGTCTCTGCTAGGTGAAATCTTAAAAAATGAAAATAGTGCCATTAATTTTAACCAAAAAAGTACGTGTCTTCTCTCAATCCAAGATGCACAGTTTTCCTAGAAAGAAAAAGAAGTGAAAAAATTTTACTAGATTGCTAAATACATTTAGTTTGCTCTTAATACATACCGTGATGACACATGTCCTCACCAAAGGACGAAGCAAAGTCCTGAGCACGTAGGTTGCTGGGAAAGAGACGAGAGTCCTTCCAACTTCTACACCGTTGTCTTTGCGCGGAGACCCTACTCTTCGAGGAGGCATGTGGTTATCTTCTCTCACACGGAGTTTAAATTTATAGCTCAGAGAACCCCCTCAGGTCCACACAAGGGCACAGACATGCTTTGAAACACGTGAAAGCCCAACACCTCTGAGAACGTGCCGTCCCCATCCTTCCTGCTTGGTACATGCATGCCTAGAAATGCCTGGCTTCTTCCCAAACTGTTGAGTGGAGTAAATTGGTGAGTATGTCTGCCTGAGATCATAATGTCAAAGAACAAAACACAATGTTTTAAGCATATTTATTTAAGGTGTTTGGATGAAAAGTTCATTATACTAAAAAATAATTCATAATCTGAGATGTGGCGTAAATTCTCAGGAGTGTTCAAAGAAGCAAAGGCTGTCGGACGGGGTGGGGAGGGTGTGCTTGCGACATGTGAGCTGAGCGTGTCTGCTATGATGCATCATGGGTCTGCTCTCTCTCACAGATACCTCTTCTGGCTCGGAAGATGAAGGCTCGGTGCAGGGTGACTCCCAGGGCACCCCCACATCCAGCCAGGGCAGCATCAACATGGAGCACTGGATCAGCCAGGCCATCCACGGCTCCACCACCTCCACAACCTCTTCCTCGTCCACCCAAAGTGGGGGGAGCGGCGCCGCCCACAGGCTGGCCGACGTCATGGCCCAGACGCACATAGGTGAGTGCCTGGCTCTCACGGGTAAGCAGGGGGCCCTGAGAGCCCCGCTCTTGGCGTCGGCGCATTCCCCTGGGCGCTCGGCCCCAGCTCCGTGCATGGGACGGCACAGGGCCCAGCTCCGACTCTTGGGGTGCTTGGCCGCGTTGGTGGTGCCACGTGGTGAACCCCTGGGTTTGGCTCCGTGCACCATGCCCGGCGTCTCTGGCGGCCCGAGTGTTCGGAGCTTTCTGCTCCTAAAGGACTGTGTTCTCGTTCGTTAGGGAGACTTGGAACCAGGTCTCTACATGTTCTCTCCTCACGCTAAATACGCCTCTGCGTGGCATTTTAATAATGCTGATAAACAGGGCAGGGAATTTTTAAGTGAGTTTGCTGTTACCGTGATGTCATTTGAGGACGCGGGGGCGTCACTCACTTCTGCTTTAGACTGCTTTCTGCCGTAGGTATTTAAGGTTCTTGGCTGGTTCACGTCACGTCGTACGTGGCTCCTGTGATGAGTAAGACCCTCTCTGTCGGAACAAGCACACACTTAGGAAGCATTGCCTGCGGTGTTTGAAAATAGCGTGAAAAGGAGATTCCGTGCGAATGGTTAGAGTGGAAGAGCGCGCGTCGCGTGAGCCGTGGTGCTGGCCGAACTGCCGGCAAATGAGGTGCATGTGTTTCTGCCTCCGCTTGAGCCTGACGCTCACTGCATGCGGCGAGTCCGTGTTGCTTTGGAAGGGACGGCGTGGCGTCCGGATCTCTTCTCACCCATTTTCAGCGATGGATTAATTAAGAGTTTTGAATTTCCCAGTAAAAGTCTTCCAGAGAGCGGCTGACCTGCTCTGGGGGTGGTGCCAGGGTAGTTCCGGGCGCTCCTGTTCAAGCAGCGACTGCACAGGTGCCGCCGGCCCAGGTGCCGTGCTTGACGCACGTCCTTCTTGCCACATCAAACCTCATGTCTGCAGAAACCCCAAATTTAGAAAACAGGTAAAGTAGTGAACGAAGTACTGTACAAACACCTGAGAGTCACGAGTGCGGATTTCTAGATCTTTAGGCACCTGTCAGAGTTCAAAAAAACTCAAACCGCTTTTTTAGGACTTTGCCTCAAGAGCACTCCCTCCAATGAGGTTGAAGTTAAATGTGTCAGTTTTGACTTCGCCAATAGAAACATCAGAGGTAAGCTCTTTGTTCTGCAGAAAGTCAGGCCGCTTGTCGGAGAGCGCGTCTGGTCTCGGTCCCCACACGCATGGCCACTGGCGTCTTCAGAAGCCACTTTGTCCTGCTTCGGTTTTAGTGGGGGGGGGGAAGGAACAACGGTTTCTTTCCTTTGTGCTGTCGGAGTGGTGGTGAGTAAAAAGGAGGAGAGAGGAAAATTCTTCCTTTTTGCACGGTGACAGGCCATGCCAAGTGGCATGATTGAGCTCAGTTTCACACCCGTGACAGCAATGCTGCTTCATGAGCCACTGGCAGCGTCTCTGTGAAATCAGAGTTAAGTTAAAACTGACAGGTGTGTGACCGTGCAGTAGAGCAGGCTTTTCTTGCATGTGTTTTGGAGCCTCGGTGGCGTCCATGCGTGTCGCCCATCCCCTGCGTGGCTGGTCGGGCACAGGGCCCCCACCTCTGCCGCTGACTCCGGCCTGGGCCGCCCAGCCGTCCAGTTGCGCTGACTTTAAGGAAGTATCAGAATCTTCCCAAGAGCAACATGTCATTTTGGACAAATTAATCACTGCCCTTGGTTCTCCCTCATGACGTTTCGTGTGGAAACCTAGAGGAAATTACAGCCTGGAGAATTAAATTTATCCAGACTATAAAAGGTCGCATGACTCATGTCTGCTGTCTCAGTGCCGCCTGAACAAGCGTCAGTGAGCGACGCTGCAGTCATTCCTCACTGGACACAAGGGCACGTTCCTAGAATATCTAGAAACTTTCTATAAATACGAAAAATCCTGAAAGAAAGCAGTGGAAGATCCAATAAAACAAGGAATAAAGGAGAATGACAGTTTCTGTGGAAAGAGATGATGTCACAGAACTGGCAACATTTGAGCTTTTGTTGAGACCATCCGAAGTCTTGGGTACAGAAGTGGGTGGGCATGTGCACACGTATGAGGGAGCACGTGAGCGTGTGAGGGAGCACGTGAGTGAGGGAGCGCATGTGAGCGTGAGGGAGCGCGTGTGAGGCATCGTGTATGAGCATGTGAATGTGTGAGGGAGCATGTGAGCATATGTGGGAGCGTGTGGGAGCTTGTGAGGGAGCGTGTGCAGCGTGGGAGGGAGCGCGTGGAGCATGTGTGAGGAAGCATGGGGAGCGTGTGCGTGAGGGAGTGTGGAGTGTCTGTGGGAGGGAGCGTGAGTGTGTGGGAGGGTGCACGTGGGGCGTGTGAGTGGGAGGGAGCGCGTGAGGGAGTGTGTGAGCGTGTGTGGGAGGGAGCGCGTGGGGCGTGTGTGTGGGAGGGGGCATGTGAGCGTGTGTGAGGGAGCACGGGGAGCACATGAGCGTGGGAGGGTGCGCGTGGTGGCGCCCAGAGCCACCCCGCCGCCTGACCGCTCAGGCCGAGGTACCGCCGGGGCCGGGGATGGCGCTGCTCCGCTCGGTAGTGAAGCCCGGGGTCGCAGACCGCAGAGGACAAGGAGAATCGGCTGCAGCAGCGCGGCTGTCGGACAGTCCGCGGCGCAAAAGCCCCGTTGCTGTGGGTTTCCGGGGGACTCCCTCCGTGGGGCCCACGCGCACCCTGTGGTCAGGCTAGCTCCGCGTTCGGGGAGGGCCCTTCAGGCCACATCTTCCTTAGGCCCAGCTCACCGTTCTCGCGGGGTGTGTGGCCCTTAGACACGAGGCCCCCGACCCCTCCCGTCCTGAGGTGTCACCGGTTGAGCCCCATGGGCCGTCACCCCCACACGACAGGCAGGATGCCATCCCTTTGCTGCAGGCCCTTGTTCCAGCGAGAACCAGAATGTTCGCGAACATATCCAGATTGTTCCTGGGACGTGTTCATGCAGAACCTTGTGCGTGTAACATGCTGGAGGCACGTGGAAAAGAGGGTTAGATTCCGGCGCCCTGTGTCAGCGTCACCCCAGTAGGAAGCCAGCGGACGGCTCTAGACTCGAGGCTCATTTGTGGAAAGCATGGCAGGAAAAGGCATCGGTTACCACCTGGAAGTGGAGCTCTGGGCGGACGCCTCCCAGGCAGGGGGCTGAGCATGAACCTAGGTCATGGGCTTACACTCCGCCTGTGCGTCCAGCGGATGGACTGATGCTGGAGCCTCCGTCTCGCTTTCTAGCCCTGGGTCCCCGGGTGAGGCCCCAGGTCAGGTCTGTCCCCGGGTCAGGTCTGGTCCCCACGTGAGGTCTGGGTCCCTGGGTCGAGTGTCCAGGTCCCCGGGTCGGTCAGGGTCCCCCAGATCAGGTGTCCGGGTCCCCGGGTCATATCAGGGTTCCCGGATCAAGTGTTTGGGTCCCCGGGTCAGGTCAGGGTCCCCAGGTGAGGTCAGGGTCCCCAGGTGTGAGGTCTGCATCCCTGGGTCAGGTATCAGGGTCCCTGGGTCAGATCAGGGTCCCCGGGTCAGGTGTCTGGGTCCCTGGGTCAGGTGTCTGGGTCCCCGGGTCAGGTCTGCATCCCTGGATCAGGTGTCTGGGTCCTGGGTCAGGTCAGGGTCCCCGGGTCAGGTGTCTGGGTCCCCAGGTCAGTTCCGGGTCAGGGGTCCTTGGGTCAGGTCTGGGTGCCTGGGTCAGGTCAGGTCAGGATCCCCGGGTCACGTGTCTGGGTCTCCGGTCAGGGCTGGGTGCCCGGGTCAGGTCAGGGTCCCCGGGTCAGGTGTCTGGGTCCCCGGGTCAGGTCAGGGTCCCCAGGTGTGAGGTCTGCATCCCCGGGTCAGGTGTCAGGGTCCCCGGGTCAGGTCAGGGTCCCCAGGTGAGGTCTGCATCCCCGGGTCCGGTGTCAGGGTCCCCGGGTCAGTTCAGGGTCCAGGGTCAGGTGTCTGGGTCTCCAGGTCAGGGCTGGGTGCCTGGGTCAGGTCAGGGTCCCCGGGTAGGTCAGGGTCCCCAGGTGAGGTCTGCATGCCCGGGTCAGGTGTCAGGGTCCCTGGACCAGGTAGGGTCCCCGGGTCAGGCCAGTGTCCCCAGGTGAGGTCTGCATCCCCGGGTCAGGTGTCAGGGTCCCCAGGCCAGGTCTGGGTCCCCAGGTGAGGCTGAGGCCCTGGGTGAGGCCCGGGTCCCCCTCCGCTGACAGTGTGTCTGGGATGCCGTCACCTCAGGGTCGCGTCCATGGGGGATGCATCGCTCTTGGCAGAGGTCGTAGGGTAGCTGCTGTTTGCAGAGAGATTTAGGACTCGTGAGGGACCGTGGTGTGCGGTGTCACCGTGCCCACCAGCTGATGCTGTAGGGTCTCCTTGTCTCTGCTGCGAGGCGGGTGAACGTAAACACAGCTGACAGCTGCAGATCCTCGGGGGCACGAACACGGCACTGCCCTTCGGTCCATCTGCTGGGGGCCTGCTCTGACCACCCATGTTCCTGGGGGCCGTGCTCATCCTTCCCCGCGGGGCTGGGCCTTGGGAGGCCCCCCCAGCTCGGGTGTCCCCAAGGGCTCAGGCCTCCCCTCCCGCCTGTCCGCTGGGGGCCCCTGACCTGCTCCATCTCCCCACGTGTTGCTGACTTCATGCACTCGCACGATTTTCACGGCCACCTGCTCTTCACGAACACGTGGATCTGCGATTCCCGCCCTCGAATCCATCACGGCCCCCCAGAGCCCTCCTGACCTGCATGCCGGTGCCCCAGGCCAGCATGTCAGAGAGGCTGTCCCGCAGGAGCATTGAGGCTCCCGTGTGTCCACGCCCGTGTGCTGCAAGACCGCCGCCTCTGGTGACTGCGCCCCGGCGCCTGCCCGGCCTTACCCCTCCCGTCCTTCCCTAATGCCGTTCCAGGTGAGCCCTGTTGCTCCTTCGGTGCCATTAGGACGCAGGTCGACTTCCGTGTCTTCTCAGAAACGTTCTTGGGATTTTCAGCTCTCAAAACTTCATTGGTTTTTATTCTTAGAATCAAAGGAGTGATTTTTGGACAGAGAAGCGTCTGAGCCTGTCCTCCTCAGAGCGCCTCCTGCCGCAGGAGCACGGGCCGGCTGTGCACTCACGCCCGTGCGCACTGGAGACGTGCACCTGTTCACTGCCGTTGGCAGCACTTATGTACATTCAAGTCAGGAAGTTGTAACCGAGTTGTTTACACCTTTCTAGCCAGGAGTGTCACAGGTTCGTTCTCGGAGCTCCTGGCACGTTCTCCACATCCGGGGAAAACAGGTGCAAGGAAACCCAAAGGTCTGGCCGCGGGCCTGACGGTAAGGACATCCTCTGGGGGCCAGAGCGCCGGGTCCCTTGCTCTGCAGCAGGGAGACTGAGGCCGCCGGGAGCCCAGGCGTCGGTGGTCAACGGGACGGGGCAGACATGTGGCTGCAGGGGCACCTGCTGTGGCGGGTCGTCCTCTTCTGGTCTCTGCTCCGTGGCCGGCCTGTAACCCAAGAGAGCGCAGCCCTACGCTGCATCAATGTTAAGGGCCGCAGCGTCCGCCTCCGGCCCCGCGGGTCAGCCGTCTGTGGCGGCTGCAGGACGGTTGGAGCTGTCATCAGGAATGTGACCCCGTCGGCATGACAATCAAGAGGCGGTTATCGGCAGTTGAAGCTTCCTGTTGTGATGTTAGCACGTCCTCCCTGAGACCGGCTGTCCTGTGTCCGGGGGACTCTGCGGCGTCGGGGTAGGAGGCGCGCAGCCAGAGGTCAGGGTAGGAGGCGCGCAGCCAGAGGTCAGAGCACGACCGGGGCATGGCTGTGCAGAACCGCCAGGCACTCAAGTTCCTGCGTGCGGATGGTTGGCCTAGAGGGAGCAGCGAGCACGATCTCCCCCGGCTCCCAGGCTGGGACGGCAGGCGCACTTGGGGGTCCCCACCCCTCGTCAGCTTGTGTGGAGGACGGCCCCGAGCCCCAAGCGGTCAGGCTGCGTCCCCAGCACCGAGCTGATGCACGGATCCCTTCGAGGCCGGGGCCTTCCGTCAGGGTCATGTCCGACTCGTATCCAGGACTCCCCAAGGAACCTGCTCGCAGCCCACGTGGGAGGCCCCCAGCTGGAGCAGCTGGGCACGCGGGCCAGCCGAGCATGTGGCACACAGAGCCCTCTCCTTGCTGCCTGTCCGCAGTGATGGCAGTGACCTCGGGGTGCGGCCATCCCCGTGAGCGGAGCCCTGGTGCCCGTGAGCACACTGCACTGCCTTAGGAGGCCTCAACACGTGGTTTCATGTACAAAAACCATGTTTCCTCCTCTTCTCTGGACATTATTTGGGGCCTGATGGATAGTTAACCGGCTTCAGCGTGGGCTCCGTCGCCCCAAACCTGGGGATCCCCATGCCCACGGGGAACGCAGCTGCTCAGCCAGTGTCGGAGGCAGAGGCCTTTCACCGGGGTCATCACGTGTCCCTCACCTCCCTCATCTTGTGTCTGCTCACCTGGGGAAGTGTCTGTCCTTCCGTGGCTGCACCTTGCCAGGCGCTGGCGTCGGGTCACCTCAGTGCCACAGTCAGCCCCGTGGAGCTGAACGCGGCTGCAGGGTCGGGTTAGGAAGTGGGGTTTCCAGATTCAGCCGGGGACCAGCTGCCGCCTGCGACAGTCGTGGAGGAAGCCGCGTCCAGGCGGGGTGCAAACCAGTGCTTTGCTGGCGAGAACGCCCGGAGGGGTGTCCGAGGACGAGACGAAGCCTGGGCGCCCCATCGTAGGCGGCTGGACGGCAGCGGCCAGGAGCTGCCAGGAGCAGACATCCGCGGCATCGCTGACACAGGGCAGCGCGGTGGGTGCAGCCGAGGTGACCCGGCGGGTGGCGGGAGGGGGCCGCCGTGTTTTCCTTCAGTTTGAAAGGACGGGGACCGATACAGGACCAGTGAGCTCTTGCTGGGGAGAGCGCCTGCTACTGATGTCCACGCTTCCTTGCCGTCGGCGAGCAATGCCACAGCGTCTGTTACCTGGGTGGCCTGGCCTGCCTCCCGGCCGAGCCGCAACTCTGAGAAGAGACGTCAGGTATGTGGCTTAGGAAGGCACCTCGAAGCCACCAAGGGCTCGCTGTTCCCGGCTCTGCCACCAGACGCACGGAGTCGTTCTTGCCCCAACCTGGGGGCAGATGTGGCCCTGCGGCCTCTCCGCACAAGGCCCGGCAGCCGCCACCGATGATGCGGCCACAGCACGACTCACGGTCGACCCAAGTTGAACCCTAGGGCAGTGAACCCCCTTTCAGCTGCCCTGTCGGGGTGTGGCTCGTGCTGGGGAAGGAGACCCGGGTCGCTGCTTCTTGGGCGGCACAGCGCGTGGGCTGACAGGCAGTGGAGACGGTGTTGCAGGTCCAGGTCACCTCACGGTCCCCCGGTGAAGCGGCCCCCCTCGCCACCCCCCCGCCCTTTCACCCGTGCTGCCCTCTGAGCTGAGATCTGAGCTGAGATGGAGGCAGTCGCCCTCACAGGGGGTACGAGTGCTCCAGCCGCCGTCTCAGGCGCCCGGCCGGGGCTCACACTGCGGGCCTCACCGTCCCCGTCCTGGAGGCTGGGGTCCACGGTTGGGTGGGCACGCAGGCGTCCTGAGGCCACCGTCCTGGTGGGGGGACGCCGTCCCTCTGTACATCTGTGTTCTCATCTTGGGAGGACACCACTTACATTCAGGTCGCCCCGGTGACCTCTGTGGGGACCCGTGGAATGGCGAGGTTGGAGTCCGCGACAGTGGGTTCCCGGCGGAGGTCAGAGGGGCGACGCTGGGCCTGCTGCTGCCTCAGGCTGTGGGAGGTGCGCTCACGCCATTGACCTCCCCGTTTGACCTCTCATGCCTTCTGAAGTGGTTTCAGAGTTGAAAACACCTGGTGTGCGCGGCAGGGCCACCTCCGGGGAGGCCCTCGGGGGAGGAGGCCGTGGGGGGAGGCTGCTGGGGCCCCTGTCCGCTCACACACTTGCGTGGTCTGTGGCCACGAACCTCACGGGCTGCTGCCTGAGCATCAGGGAACCAGTTAGTGGTAGGACGTCCAGGGTCACAGCTTAGGGCACAAAACCACCTTGGTCATCTGGCTTGACAAACTCCTCAAAGACAAGAACCGTCTCCCCGCGTGAGGGATGCTCACAGCGCGGAGGGAAGGGCCGCCGTCTTGGTGTGTGACATGGCGCCTGTACGGTTGGGTCGTAAACACGTTTGTCAGTGAGGACTGGGTCACGCGCTGGTGTTCCCGGGTGCCCACCCCCATCACGGCCGCTTAGCGCCCTTCCTGCATCTCGTTAGGGGATCCATGGTGTTGGGGGTGTGGAGAGGCCAAGATGCCCCCATGACCTGGAGGGGCCACGCCCAGTGGGACGTGACCCCCCCGACCTGGGGGTGGTGAGCACAGGTGGGATGCGACCCCCCGACCTGGGGGTGGTGGGCACAGCTGGGACGCAACCCCCCGACCTGGGGGTGGTGGGCACAGCTGGGACGCAACCCCCCGACCTGGGGGTGGTGGGCACAGCTAGGACACAACCCCTAACCTGCGGAAGTGCTCACAGCTGGCGTGCAGGCCCCACAATCGGCCCCGCCAACCCTGTTAGGACAGATGGGAAATCAGTCTGACGAACGAGCACTTAACTCACCGCGTCTCTGAAAACCCGGTTCAGAGACCTGCTGCGGTGATTCCCCAACGCGGCGGGATGGTAGGACGTGCTTCCGTCTAGAGGCCGCGGCGCCCATGGAGCCAGTAGAGTAACCATCATGATGTTCGGGACACTGATTTGCTTCTTTACAGAGAATCACTCCGCACCTCCTGACGTGACCACCTACACCTCAGAGCACCCGATCCAGGTGGAGCGGCCACAGGGCTCCACGACCTCGCGCACAGCGCCCAAGTATGGCAACGCGGAGCTCATGGAGACCGGCGACGGTAGGTGCCCAGCCGGTACCACACAGCGCCTGTGACCCCACCCTGGACCCTGCACCCTGCCCTGCACCCCACCCTGTACCCCGCCCCACTCTGGCCCGCCCCGGCCCACCCCAGACTGCCCCGTCCTGGACCCTGCCCCAGTCTATCCTGGACCCCACCCCCTCTGCCCCATCTCACCCTGGACCCCACCCTGCCCTGGACCCCGCCCCGTCTGTCCTGGACCCCACCCCCTCTGCCCCACCTCACCCTGGACCCCACCCTGCCCTGGACCCTGCCCCATCCATCCTGGACCCCATCCCCTCTGCCCCACCTCACCCTGGACCCCACCCTGCCCTGGACCCTGCCCCGTCTGTCCTGGACCCCACCACCTCTGTCCCATCTCACCCTGGACCCCGCCCTGCACCCTGCCCTGCCCTGGACCCCAACCTGGACTCCGCCCCTCTCTTGCCCCTCCCCGTCCTAGACCCCAACCTGGACCCTGCTCACCCTGCCCCTCCCCGCCCCTCCCCTCCCCATCCCTGGATCCTACCCGGTGCAGGGTCGATGCCCCTCCTGGGCACATGGTGGACCCGGTCAGTCACCCCCTTTACACAGCTACCCAAAAGGGGCAGCCCCGGGTCCAAAACTCAGGTTATTGGCCAAAAGTGTTTCCTTGTGGGAAAAAACATGAGCATGGTGGGAACTGAGTCCTGAGAAGCATCAGAGGCCTCCTTAGACGCCGGCGTGCTTGCTAATCCTGAGCAAATGTGGGGTCAGCGAGGAAAGGAGCGTGAAGCGCTAGCACTTCGGGTAGCCGCGCCAGGGGTGCCCGGAGAGCCGCACAGCATAGTGGTTGGGGTGGCGTTGGACCCGAGGGAACAGGGTTTGTTCTCCAAATGGGAAGAATGACCCGGGGCCATGATGCAGCAGTGGGGCTGCCCTGCCTGCCCCTCGGGGAGCCACGACCTGACCGGGACCCCCACTGCCCCAGCTCAATGCTCTGGCCACGCAGGGGACACGAGGCGCGGTTTTCCTCGAAGATGGCCACGTGACCTCAGTGTGGGCCCCCCACCCCCCCCCGGGCACGTGTCCCTCGTTGTGGTCAGAGCCCCGGGCCAGGTCAGTGTGCCTGCTTTCCCCGAGCTCATGCAGCCGCCTGGGCCTTCCCTGCGAGTTCCCCTCCCGTCAGCTGGCCGCTGTCCCTCCTCGTCACCATTTAGCGGCCTTGTCGTCTGAGCTCTGACCCCCGGTGAAATCCCGTGTGGTCCCCGCCATGTCCACGCTCCAGGCGATGCCGAGGGCCAGCGGCCTCCGGAGACCGCCTCCGTCCCTCCATTGGGGTTCGCTGCAGAAAGCGGGGCACAGACGGTCACAGCTCTGGGGCTTGTGTGTTCACAACAAGAAAATAATCGACATCCCGATCTCAGAGCGCCCGTAGAGCCTTCAGAGGCCACCTATGAAAATGGTTTTTCTTTGATAGAAAAGCTTCCTTGAGCTCCGTTACATTGGGCCCAAATCAGAGTCTGTTGCTCTGACCTGTCAGTGGAGGTGGCGGCCCCCGAAGGGCCCTGCCCACTGCGGCCTCCAGAGCCGGCATGGGCGGGAGCAGGTGTCGGAGCGCCTCTCCGCGGAGCGACATCCCTGCAGAGCCACACTGTCCCCCGAGGACGTTGGCTCCCTGGTGCTCCGGGGACTCGTTAGTTTGGGTGGTTTAAAAATGTCAGACCTCAGCTTCTTTTCAACAACCATGTCATGTATTCAATTTCCAAGATGATCATTTGTTGTTATGAGTAAGAAGTACATTACAAAGTGGAATTTCGTCTTACGTGTGAACGTGTGCCACGTGCCGGTGATCTGTGTGACCCAGAATGTTGAATTTAGAGCTTTTAAATTGCTCTCCTGGCTGCCTTGCCTGTGGACTCGGGGGTGGGACAGAGTCACGGGGCAGGGGCATCGGTACCATGAGAGGACGGGACAGGCCTGCAGGGACCCCCAGCGTCCCCCTGAACCTGATGTGTCGGCAGCCTGCCCTGGCCCCGATGGGGAGACAGACTTGGGGAGGCCTCCCTGCCGTGTGGGCTCGGTGACCCATCGGAGCAGGGACGGGGTCGGTGAGTGAGGAGGGCCAGGTTGGGCGGGCCCAGCCTGAGGTCAGCCTCCCCCTGCCGCCGTGGTGGCCGCCCCGACGAGCCCCAGCCTGGGGCTCCTGGGTGGCGCTTGGAGGCCCCTCGATGTGGGGCTGCACACGCGTGTTTAGCGGGTGAGGTGTGGTGGCTCACGTGTCCATGCTTCTTTTCCAGGGGTGCCAGTGAGTAGCCGCGTGTCAGCAAAAATTCAGCAGCTCGTCAACACCCTCAAGCGACCGAAGCGGCCGCCGTTGAGGGAGTTCTTTGTGGATGACTTTGAAGAACTGCTGGAAGGTGACCGAGCCCTTTGCCACCCCATTATTCCCGGGCCCGCGTGATACCACACACCGTCGTGGCGGGCCCGATAGGCCGGGTCACCCGTCAGGGCAGCAATCTTGGCATCCCCTGAAGACGGGAACCTACCCGGAGACCGTGGGTCCTGCCCCCCAGGGCCCCTGCGGATGGGCTGCGTGCTGGCCGGCCACGTAGATACCAGAGCGGGTGTGTGGGTCCTCCGTCCCGGGGGCAGAAGTACAGGGAAGCCCAGGAAACCGTGCTCAGGGCAACCTGCGCACTCCGAGGGGCGCAGAGTGAGTGTGGCTGGCTCCCGTCCTGCCATCTGGACAGACGCAGGAGTCCCTGCGTGTGAACCGAGTCAGAACAGGATCCTGCTGCTCACGTCACACCCAAGCCCTTTATTCTCTTGTTTGTACAAGTAAGACCGGCTGGCTCCCCGGCCCGCAGAGGAGAGCGTCACTCACAAACCGTGAGGGAGAGGAACCTTTTCCAGACATGAGCAGTGGTCTTTCCAACTCGAGTTGGGAAGACTTTGTACTGCGTCCTGGGGCATGTATTGTTTTACACAAGAGAATGTGCTCTTGCTGGTTGTTCGTGGTACTTGCTGCAAATTCAAATTGATGTGTCCGTGGGCACAGGCAACCTGATTAGCAGGATGTGAGCTCTGGAGTCCAGAATCACTTGCGTGTATTGATAACTGGTATTTTATTTTATTTTTTAAGATTTTGTTTATTCCTGAGAGACACAGAGAGAGGCAGAGACACAGGCAGAGGGAGAAGCAGCCTCCCTGCAGGGAGCCCGATGTGGGACTCGATCCCAGGACCCCGGGGTCACACCCTGAGCTGAAGGCAGCCGCTCCACTGCTGAGGCACCCAGAGGCCCCAATCAGTATTTTAAGCAGAGGCGTTGCTGCCGCAGACTCTAGGCACGTTGAAATACGCGGTGCATTTGTCAGTTGACAAACCCCGTCCCGACGTTGTCTTGTAAAGTGCAAGGATTAAGTGGTGAGGCCATGTAGGTCCTGGCTCTGGTTCTAGGAAAGTGCAGGTGCACGATTTCTGTCCACTAGTAAACTTGTGTAAGAGTCTTACTTTCTGTAAAAAGAATTAAAAAGTGTGCTAACATGGATGTATTTTTTTTTAAACTTTGTGTCCATGTGTATTTAGTGCAACAACCAGATCCGAACCAGCCGAAGCCAGAGGGGGCGCAGATGTTGGCCATGCGTGGGGAGCAGCTGGGCGTGGTTACCAACTGGCCGCCGTCGTTGGAGGCCGCGTTGCAGCGGTGGGGGACCATCTCCCCAAAGGCCCCGTGCTTGACCACGATGGACACCAACGGGAAGCCCCTGTACATCCTCACCTACGGTAATTCTCTGCGCTTCCTTCACCTTCCATGGTGGCCACTGCTGCGCGGGCTCGCTGCCTCCCACGGATTTACGTGTCTGGTGCAGACATAAAAGAGGCCCGAAAGGAGATGTTTTAGGGGAGGTGCTTGGTGTGAACATGAGAAGTTGTTCCTTGTTAGTGCTCCCTGAGGAAATCAGAGGTAGGTCAGGAAACCAGTGGGCGAGTCTGTCTTGAAAGTCGTGCCTCCCGTGAGGATGGGTCAAGAAATGGTGTCTGAACTCGTGGACATGGATCCCTCGGGAAAGACAGTCTCTCTCCAAAGTGATGCTGGGAAGAGGTGGGAGGCACAGGCTTATCTCTGGTGCTTGATTCCGTGCGATCGCTGCCATGTGTGAACTGTGGGGGTAGCTCGCTGGGCCCGGGAGGAAGCACGTGGTCGGGTGGTTTGCAGAGAATCCAGCCAGTAAGTCAAAGACCAAAGCGGCTTCTATCGTGTCTGCACGTGTGACATTAGATGAGCTTTGTCTGCGTTTCAGGTTTGTTTCCATGTCAGTGGCACGCTGGCCCGGCAGCAGGAAAGACGCTTCTGCGGTGGCGGTAGGGGTCAGGAAGATGGTGGCACACCCAGGGATGCAGGGCCCGGCCTTAGGGGGATGGGGCCCCGTGGGTACCAGCCACAGACTCAGTCATGACCCCTGCACCCCGCACGGAGATGGGCTTGAGGTTCAGGAGCATACGTCTCACGGCTTCATCATTCTAGGACATTTTGGGGTAATTTTAAAGAAAGATTTTGTTTGTTTGGTTTCCTTGTGGGGAAAAACATCATTGTGGTGGGAACTGAGTCCTGAGAAGAAGCAGAGGCTTCCTTAGACCCGGTGTGCTGCTAACCCGTAACAAATGTGGGGTCAGCAAGGAAACGAGCGTCTGAGGGAGGGAAAGTGTGCATGAGCGGAGGGAGGGGCAGAGGGGGAGGCAGGCGTCCTGCAGAGCAGGAGCCCAACGCGGGGCTGCATCCCAGGCCCTCGACCATGACCTGAGCCTCCCCGACAGCCCCCCAGGTGCCCCATCTTTGGGTGATTCTAAGTGGGTATGGAGTACTTCGGCCACGTGAGGCAAGAGCTGGTCCTCACATTGTGCTGTCGAGGTAGGCTTTACTCAGGTGGCAGAGTCGTGAGTGTCCCCTCCGGCCGCGGGCAGCCTTGGAGCTGGCGCGGTTGCGTGGCTGCTCCTCTGCGGACTGTTTGGCGGGGCTCACCTGCCACCTGCGGGAGCTCTAGCTCCTGCCCGCGTGCACACTCACCTGTCTGCCCGCAACGCTCGGCGGGGCGCGGGGGGCACAGACCGCAGCCCGGCTCCCTGCCTTCAAGGCAGGAGACCGAAGACGAGCCCTGATCCCCAGCTGAGGGTATGCGTCAGCCGCCGTCCCCTGAGGAACGAAGACGTGCCCTTCTGCGGGGTGACGACGAGCAGAGCTGTGGGGGGCACACCAAAGGCCTCTGGACGCGTGGGCATGCGTGTGCCCAGGCGCCACCAGCCCCGCGCTCCGTCTCTGCGTCTGCTCCCCTGCGCCAGGCACATGCTGTGGGCTGTCTCGGCATTCACCGTGAGAGGCCAGAAGCAGTGGCTTCCCCACTCGCGACAGTGGGTCACCGGGGCATGAGGGACGGTGCTGGCCGCTGCGAGGGAGGAAGACTGTAGGAGCTGCTCTACATGTACAGACTCTAAGTACATGAACCTCGAACCGTCAGGTGTCGCAGAGAAGACGCACAGGTGGGAACCCTCCCCACACCACGTGTCTCTCTCCGGCGGACCGAGCAGCCCGTTCTTGGCCGCATGGGGCCCCTCAGCTGTCAAGCGTAGCTTCCCCCGGATCCAGGTCACCGCATTCGCAGCCGGGCAAGTTGGGACGGCAAGTCGGGAAGCGGCGCGGCAGGTGGAGGTTGTCGCAGCCCCTGGGACGGCCTTCTGGCCGCCACGCACCAGGACAGCGACCTCGCACCCTGAGCCCCAGGCATCCCACCACCTTCAGTAACCGTCAGGCCTGCTGAGGAACCGCTTTCCTGGCCTCGAGTCCCTACTTCCCCTGCCCTGGAGGCCACCTGTGGCTTCCCTGTCCTTGGCCGCGTGTGCCCTCACAACGGTGTCTGTGTGTCTGTCTCCCCCCCGCCCCCGGGCTTTCTCTGCGGTCGGGGACTTGCCTTGGCTCCAGGTACCCCCAGCACCAGCCGCGGGAGCTCACAGAGCACTGGGAAGCCCCTGTTGCTGCTTCTGTGCTGTGCGCCGTGCATGGGGCGTGTTCTTGGGCTGCGGCCGCCGTGTGCCCGCGTCCTGGCCCTGGGCCGCGTACCTGGTGCCCGCATCTGCCTCCTTGTCCTGCAGGCTCGCGCCACCGCGGAGTCTCCGTAGCCGTGTTCCCAGGTCGGACCCGGGTAAGCCTCTACGAGCTGCTGGGACGTCGTGTCCGATTCCCACCTTTCAAGTGGACAGTAGAGCGTTACTATTACCTAGCGTTCCCCGCAGTCAGCAGCCTCTGCGTGACATCTCGCGACTTAGACCTGGAGGTTCGTGCCTCCTCCTCCCCGACGCCCCAGGCTGGTCTCTGTGTCTGCGAGCTGGCTTTCCGGAGGCTACAAATAAGTGAGGTCCTGCGTCCTGGTTTCCTCTTTGGCTCTGCATGAGGCCTTCACGTCGACCATCTCTCACACGTGCCAACACTGCAGTCCTTAGGTGGCTGATACTCAGGGGACGCACCGCGCGTCGTCTCTATCCATCCGTATCCATGGATGGACATGTGGGCTGCGTCTGTGTCCCGGCTGCTGTGAATAGTGCTGCAGCGGACACAGGGCAGGTATCTTTTAGGTTAGTGTTTCTGTTTGCTTCACATAAATCTCCAGAAGCAGAACTGCAGGGTCGTAGGGCAGCTTAGTTCCAACCTCCCGAGGCCCCTCCACACTGTTCCCCGCAGTGGCCGCACCAGCATGCGCTCCCGCCAGCCGTGCACGGGGGCTCCCGTCTCCGCGTCCTTGCCGACACCTGTGGTTTCCCATCCTGTAGATGCCGGCCGTCCTGACACGTGTGAGGTGATATCTCTGATTCTGATTTAATCTCCGTGATGATGAGTGATGCTGGCATCTCTTCACATGTCTGTTGGCCATTGGAATGTCGTCTTTGGAGGAACGTCTATTCAATTCCTCTGTCCCTTTTTAAATCAGATTGTGTTTTTGCTATTGAATATTTTCTTTTGCTATTGAGTTGAATATAAAATAAAATATATTTAATTTTTTTAAAAGATTTTATTTATTTGACAGAGAAGAAGTGAGAGAGCACGAGCCGACGAGGAGGGGCAGTGGGAGAGGCAGACTCTGTGCTGAACAGGGAGCCTGATGTGGGGCTGGATCCCAGGACCCTGAGATCATGACCTGAGCCAAAGGCAGACACTCCACCGAGCGAGCCCCCCAGGCACCCTCTTTATGTATTTTTGATATTAACCCCTTACTGGGGAGATGATATGCAGACATCTCTAATTTGCCTTTTCATGGTGTTGATGGTTTCCTCTGTCTTTTAGTTTAATGTGCATGTGCTCCCACTTGTTGGTTGGTGCTTTTGGTCTCAGACCCAAAAATCATTCCTGAGACTAATGTTGAGGAGCTTAGCATCTTTGCTTTCTTCTCAGAGTTTATGGTTTCAAGCCTCATGTTCACATTTTTCATGTTCATTTTTAAGTGTGGTCTGAGATAGTGGGTTGGCTGCATGTGGCTGCCCAGTTTTCTCACGGCCGTTTATTTGCATTGAAGGGACTCCCACGCCCATGTGTGTCCTCGCCGTTTTAGCTGACCGGATGAGAACGGGCCAAATTCTGGGCTCTCCGGTCCACTGATCTCTCTGTTCACTGCCAAAGCCACACCACTTTCATTCCCTTAGTTTTATGATGTAGTTCAAAATCAGGGAGCCGGGTGCCCCTAGCCTTGCTCTTCTTACTCAAGACTTCTTTGGCTTTTGGGGGTCTTGTGGTTCAGTACAATTGTTAGGATTCTTTGTTCTAATTCTGTGAAAAATGCCATAGGAATTTTGATGGGGATTGCACTGAATGTGTAGATTCCTTGGGAACTATGACCGTGGAATGTCTTAATGTCTTCACATTCATTCCTGTCTTGCTCAGTTTCTTTCATCAATGTCTTATAATCTTCAGTGTACAGATCTTTCACCACCTTGGTTAAAATTACTCGTAGGTATTTTATTCTTTTCAATGCAACTATAAATATTTTCTTAATTTCTCTGATAGTTTACTGTTAGTGTATAGAAATGCAATCAATTTTTGTATATTGATTTTGCAGGCTGCAGCTTTACTGAATTCATTGATTAATTCTAACAGTTTGGGTCTTTTGTGGGTCTGTTTTGGCAGCATCTTTAGGGTTTCCTGTATATAAAATTATGTAATCCTCAAATAGAGACAGTTTTACCTTTTCCTTTCCATTTGGATATCCTTAATGTCTTTTTCTTGCCTAATTACTCTGTCTAGGACTTCCAATACTGTCTTGAATAAAAGTGGTGAGACTGGGCATCCTTGTCTTGCTCCTGGTTTCAGAGAATATTAGCTGTGGGTTTGTAATCTATGGCCTTATAATGCTGAAGTATGTTCCTTCTATATTCACTTTATTGAGAGTTTCTCATCAAAAAAAAAAGATGTTGAATTTCGTCAAATGTTTTTCAAAACTCTATGTATGGACATAGGTTTTTATTCTTTGTTTTGTAAACATGATGTGTCCTGTTAATTTGTCAATATTGGACCATCCGCGTGTCCCTGGAATAAATCCCACTCAATCATGTCATGTGATCCTTCAAATGCACTGTTGAATTCGGTTTGCTAGGGTTCTGTTGTGTGCATCTATATTTATCAAGAATATGAGCCTGTATTTTTGTGTATGTGGTGTCCTTGTCTGGTTTTGGGATCAGGGTAATGCTGGCTTCCTAAAATGAGCTTGGATTCACTCCCTTTTCTTTGTTGGAAGAGTTGGAGG